AATTATCTATGGTTGTCATTAAAAATTTCAATAATTTTAAAATACAAATAAATAAACATGAGATTTATTTATGATATCTTATAAGAATCATTTTATGGCAATTTTGTTCTATACTATCTTTTGGAACATTTAAATGTAATTTCAGTACATATACTTTTTCTGTTCATGAAACTTTATATGTCTTTAAATATAAAGGCATGTAGACTTACATCATTAATTTTCATAATAACAGTGTGTCCTACTGTAAAGTTTTACACATTTATTTAACTAATTTCTTACTGATGGATATTGAGGTCCAGTAAAATACAATAACCAGGACTTCTTGTGTAGACTTCTATTCAATGCTATTTAAAATACTTAGTCAGAAGTAACATTTCACACCTATTAGTTTATTTCATTTGCCCACATAGGCTTGTTTCTATTTGGCATTTGTCTGAGGCACTGAGCACCAAGCAGCAAGCACCTCACTTTACCATTTATGATGGGCTTTGCCTACTCCTCACTAGTCTTCATTATATTTGTGGACCGTGAAGAAACAAATAATAAGCTGAGGACTATTCTACCTATCTTCATTTTTGCTTGATCACTTATGAATTTACCTTCACTTGATACATTATTTTCACACAGACATTCACAATATTTCATTGAATCCATACAGCTTTCCTTTTATGCATTTCTCCTTTCTTACAAATGGCTCATTGCTGTGCTTGCAATATCAAAATTTGCACTGATTCCAGGTTTGCATTGGCATATTCAGATAAGGCCATGCTTTAAGACCTTTAAAACGCCCTTCTTCTTCTAAAATAAACAAATACATCATAAAACTTTGTATATCCTGGATTACGAAAGCTTGCTGTTCTCAGAGAGAACCCGAGTTCAGTTCCCTATAGCCATTTGGGGCAGCTCACAACCAGTTTTGTAACTCTACCTCCAAAGGATCCAACTCAGACTTCAGACTACTATGGGCATCTGGACCATCCTCCATCTCAGTGAACATATTCATGTGTAGAAAAAACACATACATTTTTTAAATGTATTTTTTTAATTTTTAAATCTTCAATAATATTTTTAATTTTTTGCACAAAATAACTGCCTTTTGCCATGTATTTAAAGGTTTGCAAGTTAAATGACAGTTATTGCAATTTTACATAATCATTATCATCTTAACATCACATGCTTAAATGATTTACTCAAATCCTATTGTAGAATTTAACCCATTTAGAACATTCTTGTAGTGTGAAAAAGATGCTAGGAATTAGGAATTCCTAATATAAGAACAGCCAAAACTTTCTATGGAGAGTGGCACAGGGAACGTAGTGGAAGAACTATTCTATAGCAATGCATTTGCAGCTAATATGTGAAGGACCAATGATGGAAGAGAATACAGATTTAGAACAGACCTCTGAAAACATTGGAAACACTATGACCCAGTGTTACAAATGAATCCAGAAAAGGAAACCCTTTGCTAAATGGTACTAAGATGAATGGTCATCTACTTTTAAAACTAATTTCATTTCTAAAAATAAGTGCTCACTTCAAGAATCTTAAATTTTGTATAATAATAAACTTTAAACAAAAATATTGACTCATGTTATCAAAGAAAGCCACTTTTGATATATTTAACTTATATAAGGATTATTGTGGTAATCAAATATTTACAACTGTAGCCATATGGCAATAAAAAAGGAAAGAATACATAACATATAGATCATCATGCATATTTATTATATTTAGACCACAATGTGCTATTATAACACATTTGTATCCAATATTTCAGCATGTTCAATTAGCTGTATTAACCCCATTTCTTACTAAAATTCTGGCCAGATGTGATGTAATGCTTGCTTGGTTTTATGTAGCCGGTAGCTTAGATACTTCCTGTGGCAGACAGATTGCTCATCATGCACTTTAACCCCGAAGATGGTCTCCATCAGCTGAGCCCTACTGGGAGTGGAGATGTGGAAAGAGTTTGCCAAAGGCAAGATGTTTTCTTATAAATAGTATGTGTCCTTTGTCTAAACCCACACATGTGTTTCACACCATTCTCTCCTAATTCCTACTATAAGCACCACACAGCCCTCTAGGACTCACCCATTGAATTTTAGTTCCACACTCTAACCTCAACATAGCTTCAGGTTATCAGTTAGGGTCCTTCTTGGCAATTTGGATTTTCACTGAAAAAAAACTTACAGTGAGGTTTGGTAACAAAATCAGGCTTTGTAGCTCAAAATATTCAGGTAGAAGGGCGGTTCATACTCATTTCTCATCTTATGCTTTTCTTGAATTATTCTCTCAACAGTATCACAATACTAAAATATGAACTATGAAGAAAATGTGATTGATACTACTATGACTGTCCTATTATGTAGGAAATAGCTGGATTATTGCTACAAGGCTGTTGCTAAATAAAGTATGTATTATGCAATTTACTGAACAAGTAAATCCTTCTCCAATGTTCTATTATAAACATGAGACTCCATACTACAGTACATCTCCTAGAAAGAAAACACAAGTTGAAATATACTGCCATTTCATTGTCAGTCAAATATGAAGTGGTTGGACTTGCAGCTTTCGCTTTGACTATCTCTATGACATAGTTAATTTTGTGGGGTGAAGGAATCTGACCTTTATTTAAAATATTTCAATATCCACACAAAGGGAAAATTAGAACAGTGTTTACTCTTTTAAACGTGAAAAGAAATATTTCAAATACGTTTCATATTAATAAACATAATCGTATGTACTCATACCCATCTGCAACTATGTCTGTTTTTTTATTTATATGCATCATTCAATGTGAAATTTATGATTTCTACTATGCACTGGATTTCCAGGTTTTCATTTAAAACAAAAACTTGTTAACAAGTATCTAGAAGCTATTTTGAGAGAGTTGGTGTAAGAATGCACAGTGTGTTTCCCAGTCTGATAAGAACTTTATACGTAGTATCTAACCAAAGTTTCTTAGTTTGTTCATTTTTTATTTCCTATTGCAGCACAAGAACTAAAGCTCAAAGTGGTCATATTACAGACTCCACCCGCAGAACTGTTGGGTGATTTGAACACTGCCCTATTACAAAATTTACTCTTTTTTAGTTATACCAATGTGTATGTGTGTATGTGTGTGTTCACTTTCTAAAGGAAAAATTGCTTTGAAATAACTTTTGGTGGTTTTGGACAGTTCTTATTATTCTCTTAAATGCTTGCAAATAGAAAGAAAAAAACTGTGAAGGACAGGTGTGTGATGGTTCTTTTGGCTTTCTAAAAAACAGATGTCTGAATTCAAATGCTCAGTCTAAGTTTCTAGGAAGAACCAGAAGTAAGCCTTAACAAAATTACCCATCTTCCTAGAGTAGTCTCTGCACAACTACAGCTTTATTTTGTTGCACATTTTCAGCACTGCAGAGATCTGTCACATTACAATGACTATATTTTGGGTTTATTGAGCACCAGTGCATGTTCACATGTCTTCAGTTTGCATTTTTAAATGTAACTATAATAGTTAATATAGCTTCCACAACTACTTTATAAAATGCTATTTATATCAATATCATGGCACTGAAGAGGAAAATCAAAGTAATGAAGCCAAATCTTATGTAGAAAATCATAAAATAAAAATAATAAATAAATATATAAAACAAATACAAAGCAAGTTTTCAGTTACTTATAATTAAAATTTTAAGAAAAAAAGTTAAGAAATGATAGCTGTTTGGAAAAACAAAAGGGGTAAAGAAATTATGAGTTTGTTTAGGTTAGCAAGTTGGCTTTCATTTTGACTTTTATGCCTTAAAATTTATCTATTTAACTATCCACTTATACTTATGATTGCCCTTCCCAGAGAAACTATAGAAAAACTTGGGTTGATTGGCAAGTCTGGGCAGCCTTCTGATGATTCACTCGTACTTACCTGTGATAATTGGTGTAAGGGTGGGTAACATGACTATTTTGAGATGTTTCTACATTTATCAAAATTATGCTCAGAGAAATAGGCCCAAATGAGAGGTCCAAAACATCAGAGACTATCAAAATTGACATTAGTCAAAGAATGATCAATGAACGAAGGTGACAACCTGTTCAAGTACACACAGTCCAAGTCATCACACAGCCACACTATGGTAAATGTGAGCAGAAGATCAAGAAAAATCTGTCTTTGCCTAGAGGAGTTCACTTAATATGAAACCTTCAGCTCTAGCACAAATGTGTTGTTTTCATCATTCCCTTTCTGTGTCCACTGTCATGACACAACAGAATGAGTAAAATTAAAAATATTGCATCCCACATCACAGAATAGAGATAAATAAATATGTCATCATGACCAACAAGTTAAAAAAAGTTTAAACTGGAGGATACTCTAATTAGCCCGAGTTCACCACTACCCAAGAATGCTAGAACTCAAATACCCATTGGAATATATATGTATGTACACATGAAATAAGCTTTCAATGTGTATGTGTAGTCCGCTTCTATCCTAATTCTGGGGGATGACCATATGGCACATGTCATGATGACAAAGGATTTCTATTGCTAATGGACACTGGGGCAGGGAGGTTCTGCTGCAGAGGAGGTCTCAGCACAGCGGCTGCTTGGATGGCTGCTGCGCCTCTGGCAGACTCAGAAAGAGGCTGAGTTAAAACCGTCCACAAACACACTGATGATCATTTGAGGACATTGCACTTTACAAACGGTGTGGAAAAGGGACTTTACAAGGATTTAAATTTGCACATGAGCACCCAGGAAGTCAGTGTCTGGAACATCTTATGTTCATTGGTGTGCTGATGCTGGAGCTGGAGGGAAAATTGCATTAGCTGTCAGACATCTTCAAACCTATTTGAGTATTTTAAGAATTTTCTTCTTCATGAACACAGATTTTCTTTTTTTCTTAATTTTTTTTATGTCTGTGCCTGTCACAAACTACAAAGGACAGCACTATAAAATGTGCAATGTGCATGTGTGTATATGTATGTGTGCACACGCATGTGTTGGGGGGTGGGCTCAATACATACGGGTCTTCCTGGCAGAATCTTCCACAAAAAGGGAAGAGATGTCTTCATCCACGCCTGCTTCATTCCTAGCAATGCACGTGTATGCTCCAGTATCTTCATAGCGCACATTGCTTATGTGGACCTCACTGCCATTTGCTGGGAACAGAAGGCAAACGAAACTTGTAAACTACAGTTTCTGCTTTGGTACTGTGCATTCCGATTAAACAGGCAAACAGCTCACTGAGCTTGTACTAATTAAACCGTTTTCCTTCCTTCTCCCATACTTGGGAGATGTGCCAAATTGCTCCAGAGGCTCTCAAGTGTTTGTGCATTGTGTTGTCACTCCATTGATGAGAGCTTACCACCAGCAAATGCAAACACTCTACATTTTATAGCATTTCCTTTTCCTACAATGCATATTTCTTATTAGTAACTATCATCTTCTTGATATATGTATTTATATTTAAAACCCAATCTGTAAACTAACATTTTTTTTAGAACAAACAATAGCAATCTTGTTCACTTATAGAAACACATGTGAAAATCACTGGCATGGGTTGAGTGGATTCTATCAGTAAGTCTATCATCTCATTTAAGGAAATCCACTAATATGAATTAAATGAATTATATCAACATGTCTATTGTCTCATTAAGGAAGTTTACAGTGTACCACTGTCACTTAAGCAACCTTGTTAGATATTTGGAAATATTAGAGAAAGAGGATAGGCAGATAATAACATGATTGTCTGAAATTTCCCCAAAAACTTACCTTAAACTATAATTAAGAGATATAATCACTGTAAGTACAAAATTTCAAATATTGTTGAGTGAATATTTTATTCAATTCCTTAAATAATAAGTTGAATCTTCCAACACCAAAGTCAAGGTGTAATTAATCATGTATGACATGCTGGACAATGCTATAACCTTCATATATCTTATTATGTAATCTATACAAATGGCATTTCATTACCAGATGAAGAGCCTGAGATTCATAGAATGAATTCTTACAAGTACTCAAGTAAAAAGGCTTGATTTTTATGAAAACGTTGTACTTCCAAACCTGTGTTCTCTTGCTATCATGAGTTTCGATTTCTCTTTTCCCTTTTTCATTTTTATGTAGATGTTTCTCTGGTGTCTGTTATCTATGCTCTATGTTGCTCAGTCACAAAACAACATACAGTGGCTTAGAACACAACTCTGTGGCAAGTGAATGACAGGTAAACTGGTGTGGTTGAATTAGAGAAAAAAAGTATTGGTTGAGACAGAAAGATTGGTGAGAAGAGGAGAGGGTGTCTTCTCCCACAAAAGCCTATCTGGAAATGTAGTTTGAAATTGTAATGCCTCCATAGGCTTATGTGTTTCAACACTTGGTCCCCTGAAGGTGGCACCATTTGGGAAGTATGTGTATCCTTTAGGAGGTAGACACTGTCTAGGGGAAATGAGTCACTGGAAATAAGCCTTAGTGTTTCATAAAACTCTCTAGTACCTAACTAGGAAAACAATGTGGTCAGCCAACCTCCTGCCATCATGCCTTTGTTGCCATGGAATGTATCTCTCCAAGTGAAAGCCAGAATAAACCCTTCTTTGCTTACACTGTTATTGTCAGTTACTAATACAGGTGAAGACACCTGACTCAACTTGTCTACCTGAGTGACTGAGATCTACAACACTTCTACTTGCCTATGAGACTCTGCCAAAAAACAATCAGTGTCGAGCAATTCCCCAAGGAGGAGTGATACGAACTAAGGTTTACTTCTACCTCATGTTATTTACTAATTTCAATTTTCCTTTATTATGTTTAATTTTGTATTTTTGCTGTTGAGATGTTGTGTAGCTGATAGTGCATCTGAACAAGGCTTCTAAGATTGCCCTTTCTTTCTCTGTCCCTATCCTACACTGTTTTCCATCTCTTCCATAGGCCTAAACTTCTACGCCCTCACTTTAGGCACTGAGAGTAAGGGGTTTCCAGCCCTTAAGCAATCAGACAAATGTCCCCATTTTTCTTATCTCCTGGCACCAAGAGCTAAGGTGTCAAAGACACCGAGCAGTCAGGCCCCTACCTATGGTGCATACAAGTAAATCTTCCAGAATCCCTAAGCACTGGACCCAAACTTCTAGCACCTCCTAGCACTTGATACAAACAGGTAAATCTGGTGATTGTTATTTTATTTTGCACCCTAATAAAGCTTATCTGAGGATCAGAGGAAAAAGCCAGCCACTATATTAAACATAGAGGTCAGGCAGTGGTAGCACACGCCTTTAATCCTAGCATTCGGGAGGCAGAGATTCATCTGGATCTCTGTGAATTCAAGGCCACACTGGGAACAGAGTCAGGTATGGTGGTACACGCCTTTAAATTCCAGCACTAACCATAGAGGTCTGGAGGTCTGGACAGACAAACAGGAAATGATAGAATTGGGCAGAAACAGAAAATTGATATAGCTGGGCAGAAAGGGGAACTAAGATGGCAGGCACAGAAAGGATGTAGGCATGGGTATACAGGAAGTAGGTCTCTTTTTGAGGATTTCTAGGGGTAAGAACGTGGCTGGCTTCTTTCTGCTTCCCTGATCTCTCAGTTTTCACCCCAATATCTGGCTCCAGGTTTTTTTTATTAATAAGACTGTTTACCAATTTGTCTTACAGATAAGGAGTTCCTAGACCCTGATACTTCAGTCCAAACTTCTGATGATGACTGGTAAGTGGTACTTATTTTCTCACACCCTTGCACCTGCTGTGGACAGATGTATAGTCCCCAGACCATCAAACTCTGTTTCAACCTTCCACTCTACAAACTCCAGATGTGAAAGTTCCAGTGCAGAACTGAAAACAACATGAACATCTAGGACAACATGTGGCCTCCAAAATTTACTAATCCCATGACAAGGCAGCCCGATGAGAACTACCTGGAAGAACTTACAGACAAGAAATCCACAGAATTATTTTAACTCTGTTAAGACAACACCACAATGACAAAACTGTTCTCCAAATGAGGTTTTTCCACTGAGGCTTTTATTTTGGTATATTCAGGAAAACATTTCCAGCATCAATTTAGCTTTTCTTCAATGATGATACTACCTCTTTTAAACAAATTATATATTCATATCCTGTACTGGAATGCCACAACTATCAACCCAGACTATTATACTCAGGAAAACTACCTATTAAATTAGTGGAGAAATAAAAAAACAGCATTTCAATGATAAAAATTGTTTAAAGGAATTTTAAACTACTAAGTAAGTTCTAGCTCTACAGAGAATAGAAGTGACACTTCAATCTGAAGATAATGATAAACATGCTCAAGATGTCACAGGGAATAAATAAATAATTGCAGAACAATTAATCCAAAGAGGTGTATAATTAAATATAGTACTTGTGACCAAAATAAGGGCATCCTGTATTAATCTCTATGACAAGACTATATTTTCAACAGTAATTAGAGAACTGTATCAGCTTTTGTTTTAGATGCAACCATGTTTTAATAGTCTCAACTGCTGCTACAATAATTCATTGTTTCACAAGTGTTGTGTGTTGTCATTTTTTTCCCTAAAATTTAATATAGAAGATGTGCCAATTCATTTAAGGAAAAGAACGTAAGAAACAGGTACCTTGAAGTGTGAGCTGTTTGGAGAGCTTTGGTGTAATGTCAATTCCATTCTTCAGCCAGGCAAGCTGAGGGTCTGGTATGCCCTCTGCATGGCACCTCAGGCTTGCAGTTACCCCCGGTTCTCTGGCCTGGCTCTCTGGATACACTCGGATGACTGGAGGAACTGAATGTGGGAGAAAAGAAATGAATAAGTAATCATCATTTACCATCTTGGAAAATGAACAAAAATTATAAGATGATCCCTTATGAATTATACATTTTCATTAGGTTGTATAATCAGTTTCCTGGTATAATTCTCTACTAAAATGCCCCATGGATGCTTGTGGAAAGGTAATTCTGGGCCTATGTCAGGAAAAATACAATTCAAACATGGAATATCATGTTTCAGAAATTATAAAATCTTGAAAACATAATACTGAAATAGGCTCCCACTTGCCTACTACAGGATGACTTATGCATTAAATTAACACTTAAAATCATTATAAAGAATTAAAAGCTTATGGATTTAGTTATTTAAATAAATAAGTATGTAGTTAGAAAGGAATGTGTTTCCTTACCACAGCAAAATTTGTAGATAATAGTATACTAAAAACACACTATTAACAATAAATTTTGTTAAAAACATGCCAGACTTTACACTAAGCCCTGGAAAACATTGTTGAAAGTATTTAAAGTAAATGAAATTCAAGATAAAATATATTCATGAATAGAAAGAATTGGTTGGTAAAATGGAAACAATCACTGGTAAAATTTAATATCCCCTAATTGATCTGAAAATGGTAAGATAACCCTGAAAAGATTTTCAAAGGCAGCTTTGTATAGATGTATAGTAGCCACTCCTCAGATTCAGGAAGAGTGACTAGGGGCCCCAGTGACCATAATAATCTCCAGAAAGTCAGAGGAACACTAAAGGGATGACACTTTGGTCATTGGAGCCATGAGAAATGGACGTGAGGATCAGCACACAGGACTGCAGAGAAGAGTTGGAAGCAAATAAATGACCACACACTGCTGTGGTCAACTGATGTTTCACATAGCGCCAAGGTGTCTATTTTTCAGGAATGTCTAGTGCAACTGTCAATATGTTACAAGAACATGAACTTGAACTCCTACTTCATACTATATTCACGTGATTTGAATCAAGTTAAATCATAGCTCTAATTGTCCAAATAAAACACTATAACTCTTAATAAACAGCCCTGAAAACATAGGTATGAGTAACATTATATGTACTTAATGAACAGTTTATATCTAGGAATATACATGTATATGAATGTACAGATATGCATATCATAACAATCAGTGAAAATGGAGGTCATAAATTTGAAGGAGAGTGGGGAGGGTTTTGAAGAGAGGAAATGGAAGGGAGAGATATAATTGAATTATAATTACAAAAATAAATTTTAAAGAAAGATAAATAACAAATATGAGTCATAGGAGATATTACAGTCTTTTAATCAATGTACTCATACATATCTCCTTTTATAGAATAAACAGCACATTTAAGTGAAAGAAAAGAGAGAAACAAAGAAAGCATAAGAATAAATTAATAACTCATTCTATCATTGAATTTGATGAAGATTTCTTAGCTATGGCCCCATAGTCACAAGCACCAACATAAAAATAAATAAACTCATCCTCAATTGAATTAAAATATTTGGATCATCACATGACATTATCAAGAAAGATAAGGGAGGGAGCTCATGGAGAAATGTGGCTTCGTGGCTTGGAGTATTGGTTCCTATTTCGGAAGGCTTGAGTTCACTTTCCAGCACCACCATCCAATTCCAGTTGAAGGGAACCTGATACTCTTTGACACCTCTTTAAATTAAGCACATACATGGAGTACTTACAAGACATACACACTTGGAGGGGGAACACTCATGCACATAAAATAAAATAATCTAAAACAATAAGAAAGAATGGAAGGAAGGAAGAAAACCTAGGAGACAGTGCAGTCTATCATGTGCTTAACACACAAGCATGGGGCTTGAACGGCGTCCCCAGAATACACATGAATAAAAGGCCAGGTGTAGAGGTGCAAGTTTGTAATCTGAGTAATTGAGAGGAATGAACACACGATCCTCGAGGCTCACTGCATAGCCAGCCCAGCTTCTTTAGTGAGTAACGACCAGTGAAAGGTCCTGTCTCTAAAAAGAAAGTTGGCTGAAGCTAAAGAATGACAAAAAGCTTCTCCTTTACCCAGAAAATACATGTACATACATATACACTTCCTCACACACACTGTCACACAAACATATCCACAGATACAAACCCACACACAAGTGGTAGATTAAATATAACTCATAGAACACAGAATAATTTACAATTTATGTTTGATAAGAGACTAATATGCAGAATCTATAAAAATTATTGCAATTCAGAAGGTAAATGACAAAGAACTCAGTTAAAATATGGGGCCCTGGGGCTTGAAAAGTTCATTGACAAAGAGCACACTGCTCTTGCAGAGCACTTGGGTTCACTTCTTAAAGGTCCAGGGCGATCTGATGCCTCTGGCCTCAAATGAGTAACATACTCAGATGTGTATATCCTGCATAGATACCCATACATACAAATAATACAAATAAATCTTTAATAGCTACATGAAGCAAAAGACAAGAATAAGTATGTCTTACAATAAGATATACAAAAAGCAAGTAAAAGTTAAGATGTCAAAATAGAGGGTAACACAAACGAAAGTTTCAAATCCCTTTGCCAGTTTCTCTCTGTCTGTCTTTCACTCTTTCTGTCTGTCTGTCCGTCCCCCGGCCGTGTGTGTGCGTGTGTGTGTGTGTGTGTGTGTGTGTGTGTGTGTGTGTGTGTGTATGGTTGTGAGTGTATGTGTATATGCCAGCTTGTATATATATATATATATATATATATATATATATATATATATATACACATATATATGTAAACACACGAATACATTTACCCACTAAACTGGCTATTGAAACAAACAACAAAACATCATGTACAGATAGGAGATATGAAGGATCTGGAACACTTGCACCTCGCTGGTTGGGCTAGGGAAGAATGTAGCCATTCAGAGAGTGTGAACAATAGTTTGGTTTTCTATTAACATCTGAAACATAAAGTTAGAATTAACAAGGATCCCCATTAGCAGACATTAATGAGCTATTTCTAATCTAGGTTTCCTTCAGAGACTTGAAACTGGTTTTAAAAATAGTTCAAAATAAAAATCCATTCCTTGTATTAAGGAAAAGTTAAAATGCAAATGAACTAATGCCTAGTGACTGAAAAAATGACTAGTGACTGAAAAACAACATGTTTTTTTTTACAACATACAACAATTTCAGCAGGGAACCTAAGTTCTTAGGGTGCTACAATACAAATATTGAAGATCTGATACTAAGCGAAATCAGTCTAACAGGAAAGGTCAGACACAATAACAGTTAATTTGTGGGAAACAGAAGCAGAATGGGTAAATGTGTCAAAACAGATTTATAGAGAGCTAGGAGGAGGAAACAGAACATTTACTAATTGGTTGAGTATAAGGTTTATTTTGGAAGAGGCGTTTTAGGATTAGATAGCAGTGATGGGCATACAATGTTGTATCTGAACTATAAGTCACTGAATTTACATCCTATCTGGCTATATACCAGAATCTACGCAAACAACAGAAGTTTGAAAAAAGTCTTATAAACATTTACCTAAATTAAATCTATTAGTAAAAGTTCTTATTGTTTCACTAAAAGAAGTAACAACATCTTACAAAATGCATTCCAGCTAATGGAAAATAGATGATATGTGTCATAGGGTATAGGTCTTAGAAAGCATCAAAATATTTCTCCACATTCTTTGGCACCATTGTCTTTAAAATGTGAAAACTAATTCTCACCTTTCAGGGTAGGCTATATTAAAGAATTCAAAGTTACATGGCAAGAGGTCCAAAGTGTGGAACATTTGGACATAAAAAGTTAAACAAGTTTTGTTCTAGTCTTGGTTCTATGTACCATGGTTTCAGTTAGCTTTACTAATTTGTGGTCATAAAACATGAAATGGGAAAATGGCTAACATAAATAATCCACAAATTTTAATTATCATGCTGCTATAAGCACATGGTGAAATCTAACACTGTCCCTCTGCGTCCCTGCTGGTGGAAGTGTGTCATCAGAGGCAGACTTCGAGAGCTTCTCTCCTCACCCAGTGTCTAGGTCACTGTCCCTGTTTTATGTTTGAGGTTGAAGGTATAAACTTTCAGCTTCCTGCTCATGGCAATTGTTGCCACAACTTGCCTGCCATTATGGACTCTCCCTCTTATATAATCCAAGCAAATATACAAATAAAATAAAGAAGTTGAAAAACCCAAGATTCTTTCTTCCTTGAGGATTTTCTTCTTCTTCTTCTTCTTCTTCTTCTTCTTCTTCTTCTTCTTCTTCTTCTTCTTCTTCTTCTTCTTCTTCTTCTTCTTCTTCTTCTTCTCCTGCTCCTTCTCCTTCTTCTTTTTCTTCTTCTTCTTTTTTGGTAATGATATTTTATCACATCAACAAAAAGTATCTATTACACCCGATATCCTCTGTGTTCAATTAAATGCTTTTGCCTTAGTGTCAAAAATTCTAAGATACAATGACTGTAAGGTTCTCCTTAGTTTTTAAATCTGACCCAAATTTAATTTCAGGACACCTCTGTCTAATGATTTGTTGCTTATTAAAATCTGATTTACAAGGAAAATACAGTCTTCCTAGACCTAGTGACACTATAAATCCTGTGTAGATCACAAACTAGTTTCAGTGATAAGGTCCAGACTTTAGCTACCTCTCAAACCTGAATCCTTATTTCTCTTTCCCATGATGCTCTAGAGGTCTAAAATGAGTCAGTCACCAACTATAACAAAGATGAAACAGAAGAATGAGAGAAGACCTTAGAAAGTGCTGCAGGCTAGACTATTTTGATACTGCCTCTAGCATTCGTAAAACTGGGAGCCTCACAGATATCCAAAGTCATAAACATAGGAATTTTCTGCATCCTTTCTCCCTCTGAAATTGTAATTCAAAAAATATAACATAGGCATGATGGGGAGTTAATGCCTGGTTATATTTCTTTACCACCGATTACAACTTAATTTGTTTTGATGTATCAGATATGACTTTAAAGGCCCTCGTGATAACTTTGGCCTAGGTCTCATGTTCAAATTTAAAT